AATTTTCGCACCGGGGCCCAATGGGTCATGTGTACGCCACTGCTTATAGATGTCAGTTTGTCCTGAAATGTATCAACCTGCCCCTGGCAAAACAGAATAAATGCTATATATAGAATGGCACAAGGACATTGTTGACAATTCCTTCTAGAATTTTGTTCTAAAAATACTGAGATAACAAACAAAATATTATAGAGGAACAAGATTTACTGGAGGTAGATTTTTCCTAACAATATAGATGGGTGGATGCTGGCAAGATAGATGGGTGGGTGGATAAATGGGTGGATTGGTGGGTGGATGAGTGGATGGGTAGGTGGATTGGTGGGTGGATGAGTGGGGGGGTAGATTGATTGGTGGGTGGATGGGTGGATAGGGTTGGGTGGATTGGTGGGGGCTAGATGGATTGGTGGGTTAGTGGGTGGATGGGTGGATTGGTGGGTGGGTGGGTGGGTGGATGGTTAGGTGGGTGGATTGGTGGGAGGATGGGTGGATTGGTGGATGGATGGTTAGGTAGGTGGATTGGTGGGAGGATGGGTGGATTGGTGGGAGGATGGGTGGATTGGTGGATGGATGGTTAGGTGGGTGGATTGGTGGGAGGATGGGGGGACAGACAGACGAATGCTACTTCCTTGGTGGTTAAACAAAAGACAGGAGGAAGCTTCTCACAATGCCATTAAATTAATAACACACTGTTGTTATTTTACTTCCCATATTGCTCAGTTCACTATTGATACCCATAACAGTATTACACAGGATGGTTCAAAAGTCGGAACCACTCAAATGCTTCTCTGACTCTTAACAATGTTTTCTTTAGGGAAATCTATGTCATTGGTACACCTCTTTGTCTATTACATAATGATGTTTTTAATCTAGCATTAAATATATTACAGGTATTTGCCTGACTTTTGACTTAACCTGTAATGCATAGAAAATTATTTGGTGTTAGAAAACCTTGCTTTGTTCCTGTTATATACTGTTTTGCATTCTGATAACCTTTCTGTTATTCCCATTCACAGCTGTTGGATGGCCTGGGAACCCAGCCTTGGTGCTTTCTATGGCCCAGTTGCATTTATTGTACTCGTCACTTGCATATACTTTCTCTGCACCTATGTGCAGCTGAAGCGTCACCCTGAACGCAAGTATGAATTGAAGGAGAGAACAGAGGAGCAGCAAAGGTTGTCTGGTGCTGAAATGGGGCACAGCCATATAGCCGATGTCGGACCTGTTACCCAGGCAACTTGCTCTATGATGTCAGCTTCTCTGCTGGAAAATGAACATTCATTTAAAGCTCAGTTAAGAGCAACCGCGTTCACCCTTTTCCTGTTTACTGCAACCTGGACTTTCGGTGCCCTTGCTGTCTCCCAAGGTCCCTTCCTGGATATGATATTTAGCTGCCTCTATGGTGCATTTTGTGTAACTCTAGGGCTCTTTACCTTGATCCATCACTGTGCAAAGAGGGATGATGTTTGGCATTGCTGGTGGTCGTGTTGCCCCTCGAAAAGAAATGCATATGCCTCGCAGGCTAGTGCCCGCCAAAAAGTTAACATTAATGGAGAGGCTCAAGTGCACACAACGTGTATTCAGGACTCACCATGTCCTAATAAATCACCTTTATATAACCACCCATCCGTAGGACATTGCAAACTGACTAATTTACAAGCCGTCCAAAGTCATGTAAACTGCCTTTCACCGGTCACACCATGCTGTGCAAAGATTCACTGTGAACAATTAATGGAGGACGAGGGGCACATACACGTACACAATGAAAGTGCATTTAGGCCCAACATGCATGTACACAGGTGTCTGAAAAGCAGAACTAAACCCCGTTACTTCAGCCGGCACAGATCAGCTGCGGAGAGAGAGTATGCTTATCACATTCCTTCTAGCATTGATGGAAGTATCCATAGTTCACACACAGACAGTCCACACAGTACCCACGAGGGCCCGACAGGCCACAGGAGAGGCTGCTGTGCAGGGAGTGACCCTTACCCTACTATCAACCAGCCAGAAAGCAGTGAAGCAAGTACTGCAATATTTAGCTGTAGTAAAATGCCAGAAAGTGACACTGTGCACCATACAGCTCATTTTGAGATGCACCCAAGGAGACAATCATATCCATTTAATACAACAAATCCTAATGGGATTCTGAAAGGAAACATGCACGAAGCCATGATCTATAGCTCAGATAGTACAGGAAATATCAAAACCGGCCCTTGGAAAAATGAAACTACTGTGTAGTTAGTTAATGGGTTCGGTGAATTTGTCTTTCCACCCTGATAAACATGATGCTATGTTTTTAATTTCACTTGTTAAATGTTCGTGCAGCACACTATTACATTGAATCGATGTACAATGCTTCGTTCTGTATCTCTCTTTTTTTTCTTTTTTTACAAACAAATTATGAAATGGATTAAGTGGTAATCAAAGAGATGTATTTAAAGAGGTTTAATAATTCAGTCTATTTTGCAAATTAACATGAATGTGAGATTGATCGAAGAGGCAATACTCTAAATCTTTAATGTCATTATTTTTGTAAAAGGATGTGTCCATGCCCTCTTTAGGATACTGGTGGACACTTGGCAGAATGCTCGATGGTGGAAATCCCTCCTGTCAAATTCTACAAATATTTTTTTTTTTTAAATATCTCTTGGGGACACATATTAAATATTTATAAGCTATCAATTAAAACATAACCTCTAACCTTCCATCATCCTCAGAAGATGACCTGACAATAGGGGGTTATTTTTATTAGTGGGCTACAGGTTATGCCCATATTAAGTATAATAAAATATCCTTCTACGTGTACGATACAGGCACAATTTTAAAAGTAATACAAAATATGGAAATATATTGTATCTGCAAAGATACGGTTCTCCAGCTTCTGTGGGCCATCATTGACATGACTACCAGTCAATATTATAGTAGTCTAGAGCACCTGGAGTACCATATTTTGAGCGGTTGTGATTTCACCAATAATCTGTTCTCTGATTATGCAATGGTACAGAGTAAATATAGTATCAAGGTATTTAATCTGCACAACATGGCAGTAATGTGAAGTAATTAAGGATTGAAGAATTTCTCAGTTCTAGCCCTTTATAAGGTGACATTGCCTCGGGATGTTTACCATGAGTTCTCCAGAAATGTGTCAAGTCTGCTCAATGTGAATCGCTTTCCATGTTGGAGAGAAGTGATAATGTCTCCTTTTACATCTGCTGTGTTGTATTGATTGTGTTTTGCATGAAACAATTCAGGGTATTACCATTTTGTTGAGTTTTTTTTTTAATGTTATATGTTTAAATTGCAGTATTGTTAAAGGCTGCAAAACAACATTCACGTGAGTTATTAATCTAGAACATTAAGACTCAACAGAAACTCACCTCTGCACTAGTTTAAGTGGCACAATCCTTCCTATGAGATTTTATAAATTTGATTAACGTTCACTCATATGTCTTTTGCAAAGCATGCAGTACCCATTGTATGTAACACCGTGCAGTGTTCTAGCAACTGTCTAAATGAGTTTTCCACAACGTTGTAAAGTTTGCCTTTGGACCCGTGAGTTGATCTTGCTAAACTTTCATCCACAGTTTGAATTGTGCTGGTTTCTCATTAACTCTTTGAGGACTACAGTCATGTTTTTTTTTTCTTATATGAGTAAATTTAAATGATTATTATTAATGCAAAACTATTCACACGACTTTAAAGAGTGTAAACAGGATTTGCACAGTCTCTTGACTTCATAAACATTAATACATATAACATATATTTATTTATATACTCACAATAAATATGCCTTGGATATCTGCCTAGTATGTATGGCTTTGGTCGAAGTTAGAAAATGACTATTCTTGTCTTCAGAATGACAAGTCCATATAAGTGTTATGTCACAAGTTGAATAGCTGTGGAACACAACTGCAGATTAGAAAATTCCTTTATTTTAATGGCGTTGAACTAATGGTAGGAAAAAAAAGTCCTGTAAGTAAGCACAATTACTGTAGCTTTAAGGATTCCAGGATGTTGGAAGCAATTAGATGAAAGCAAAAGCAAAAGCAATTGTAGCAGAGACAGTGTCAACAAAGTTGTAGCAGGAGATAATTAGCAAGCAGGATAAAGTTCACTAATAATGCAATTTCCAGAATTATGAATAAGTGTATACTTAGAGAATGATGGGAGTAGTCTGCCACAGGCTGGGTCACCGTAGTCAGGAAGGAGCATAAACTTTCAAGCAGTCCGGTTCTTGAGGGTCGGAGAGAGCAGGATGAACGAAATTCAGTCCGAGATCAAAGGAGTGGAGAAGGCAGGGAATCCATTTAACAATCCAGGAGTTCAGTACACAATTTTCAACTAAGAGGAGCTTAGCCGGCACAAGGAATACAGAGGTAACCTAACACTATCACTAAGCAATTTTAAAACTGGCGCAGTTTCTCTATAAGGGCGTGAGAAAGCCGCATCAGAGAAGGGGGCGGGGACTGTTCCGCTTACCCGGAAGTGTCAGAACGGAGCCGAAGAGGATTTGACAGGTAAGTCCTCACTATAAGAACTACTTGGGTGACACAGGCCGAAGTTGAAAGTGCACACAATTTATTTCAGTTTATTTATTTTTTTAAAAAGTGAACATTGAACACATACTAAAAATACAAATATTTTCATATTATAACTATTTCCCGGCTGTTTAAAAATATTGTTAAATTAAAAGGAACTTCCTTACAGGTAGTGACTTAGACTTAAATATTACTTTTTGTAATGTCAGAAATTTATATAGATAGCTAATAAAACAAAAATAAAGGTAAAAACAAATTTTAAGAATAAAGATATTAATGACTTGAAATTTATCTACACACATTTAGTTGTTTTTACTTAAAAATAACGTACTATTGGACCGCAAAGTATTTTAGCAGATACACAGTTATGGGTCAATTCATTAAAGGCTGATGTCAAAATGTCCATGTGATTGCTACTATTTTTGTGAACTATTTAAACAGATAAAACTTTTTTTTAATCTCATTTTTTAATTATAGTTTGTAACAATTACAGTTTCAATCATTATTTTTTTAGAATTATTTGTATTAAAATAAAGTATACCATGGCTTATTTCAATGAGAGGTTTATTCATTAAACTTTAACATTTTGTGAATTGGTAACCAGAAATTTGCAAAATTTAGGGCAAACAAATCTGGTTTTAAGAAATATCTCAATGCACCTATAGTCTCAGCTTGGCTACTTTTGGCCCCAGATTTTGTGATTCATGTTTCAATTCACTTCATTTCTGGATTTTATCCTGCAAACTGGTTCATGGATTACAGGATAAAATTTACAAGGAAAGGTTAAAGGAAATTTACATGTATAGCTTGGCGGAAAGACGAGACAGGGGGATTGTGATAGAAACATTTAAATACATAAAGGGAATCAACACAGTAAAGGAGTAGACTATATTTAAAAGAAGAAAAACTACCACAACAAGAGGACATAGTCTTAAATTAGAGGGGCAAAGGTTTAAAAATAATTTCAGGAAGCATTACTTTACCGAGATGGTAGTGGACGCACAGAATAGCCTTCCAGCTAAGGTGGTAGAGGTTAACATAGTAAAGGAGTTTAAGCATGTGTGGGATAGGCATAAGGCTATCCTAGCTATAAGATAAGGCCAGGGACTAATGAAAGTATTTAGAAAATTGGGCAGACTAGATGGGCCGAATGATTCTTATCTGCCGTCACATTCTATGTTTCTACGTTTCTATAAGTAAATTAATTCCTACATTTTCTCACATTACTGCAATTCTTTTACAAGTAGTTAAATTGTTAAAGTACTTTAGCTGAAGTCACACATTGTCTATATTAGCCTACATTTTATTTAGTCTTCAATTCAGAAAAAGATAAAGTTCAACACCCATGTTTGAAATAAAAAATGCCACATTATAATCTAAATATATATATATATATACATATAATAATATAAAGTAAGAAATAATAAATATATAATTTTAAAAAATTGTATACAAAGTAAGTTGATGAATGAGGGTGCAACAACAGCTTTTTTTTATTGACATTTAGTGTTTATTTTCATTTAGAGCTCTGTTCTTATACACATTTGCCAGACTATAGGAATTCCTCGATGAACATTAGTTAATGCATTTTAAAGTAAACATTTAGTTAATTTTAACGTGTTTGTTACTTAACTAACAAAATCAACCCAAATCAATAATAAATACATTGTGTGCATATATTTTAATAATAAAAAGCATACATGTGTAACTTCTAATGAAAATGAATATTATTTTACATCAAAATATTTATTCATTTCAAATTACTTTTGAGAACTTTGTAATGTAAATACAAATAATTACTTAGATTGTAATATGTTACCATGGATTTTTGCTTAAAACAATAGGTACGTAAATGTCTTTTTTTTTTTTATTCTCATGCATCATTTTAACATTTACACATTTGTTAATTTTTTTTATTTTATTTTTAGCAACACGCATTATTGTCATATTTCTATGGTATGGTTTACAAGTTATTTAAAAAAGGTAAATTAAAAAGTTAGCAATACTTAATCTATTTCTGAAAGCAAAGAAAAAGACGCCCCCAATCCAATATTTATGTGCCATTTCAATTATTTTGCAATGCTCTATGTGCCAAATTAAAGGTTAAAGTTTAAAATAAAAACACATAACCACAAATGTTTTTTTCTTAGAAACAGAGTTTTGCCTTATTTAAACTATACTATAAATCTGAAATGTGGAAATGTGGCTGTAGATATAAACTATCTAGTACGTAAAAAGCCTGTTTCCTAAACAATTAATTTCAGACACCTGACAAATAATTTTTACAATTTTAAACAAAATAGCATGTTGAAAAATAAAATCCAAAGTGGCTTATTTGGGATTTATTTTTTTTCTTTTTGGCTACAACAAGTCGTGATCAGCTTAATGCCCAGTTGTTTAGCATTAGATTTTTTCATAAAACTGAATCATATATATATATATATATATATATTTTAGTTTGGTGATAACTAATTTATTATTCAATTATAACACTCTAGGATGTTTTTATTAAGGTAAAATCTCTGAACATGTATAGTAAGTTCCTGATGAATAATTGCATAAAACAAACTTTAAATGAATTGCACAGTAACCTAGTATAATATAAACCAATAGTGAAAATTAAGAAAATGCAATAACACGTAGGCAGTCATCAGAACTCCAACTATGATGGACTCCAATTCCTGGTGTTGTCGGCCTTTTGGCATGCTGGGAGATGTAGTTACTAATTATTGGACTGATCAAAGTTTATTACGGATTGCAAAACCTCTGATATAAACTTGCCCATTTTTAATGTGCATTTTTTTTTTTTATTTTTTTTTTTATTAATTACTTTCCCCTCCATGCTTAGCTGATATTTTACTTAAAAATGAATATTTTAAACTTTTGAAATGTTATGAAAATCTATGAATGTTTTCTGCAGTTGGTATTAATTAGTACTCAAAGGGTTAATGCTCAGTATCTGAGTGTAAGAATGTCTATCGCTGTATTTTTGTAAATCCTAAATATATATATATATATATATATATTAAATGAAGCAGTGTATATACATATATCTACATAGATCCACTCCATTTTATGTGTGTCTTGAAAGGGGCATCAAGAATATGCACTAGAATTGTAGCTTCATTTAGATGAATTGTTATTTTTAGCGAACATAAGAAAACGTTGTGAACATTTCTTGTGTGTGATTTATTACTATGAGCTATAAAAGAAGGCAAATGCAAAATTAATAATTATGTGAATAAGTGCCAAGAGACAAAAGGAATTCTAGATTAAAGAAGGGTTAGTGACAAACATGAGGCTTAAAAATAAAGCTGAAAATGAGGAAAAGGAAGAAAAATTACAATCGTTTCAGAGTAGAATAAAATCTAATTGGATTCTTTGTAAAAACGACTGAGACCTGGTTGCTCAAAATTCAGATAATATGCTAACGTACAGTCATTGTTAGAAGGTGCTCAATATCTATAGACTGGTCCCTATTTCTCGGTGATGGAGCTCTAGAAAGTCTGCTTGTGTCCTACTATAGACCAAATATATAAAAAAAAAAAAAACAAGCATTATTCAGAGATGGTGTGTTCTAATATTCTAATATGCTATTTTTGATATAAGCATAGCTGCAGCCAAAATATATTTTTCCCACTCTAGACCCAAAGCGACTTTCTAAATAAGTCAACAGTCTAATTTCCTTTGTAGTGTACGTAAAGATTTTACAGAGTGCTACATCATTACTGTTCTACTAATAGTGTAGCATGAACAACCTTTGCAGTACTTGATATAGTGAATAAATATTAAACAAAATATTGTTTGAAGACTAGAATCAAACTATTACCATATGTTTTGAGAGCCCTGACTATTAGCACATCCGGGACTCTAGTACCATAGTTAGCTATCATTGGTCTATTGCTAGGAACCAATGGGATCTCTGTATTTAACTTCCACCGTCGTCACAGTCAATAGAACAGAGGACTGATTGAAAATGCCTTACACTTCCCTGCAAATCCTGTAGTTCAAGTAATAAATGAATATTGTGATCACAAAAATATTTAAAATATGACACTAGTGTATGTGTATTATTTTTCTTAAAATATTCAGAAGCAGAAGTGTTGACAGAACCCTCAAAATAAAAAATTTCACAGCATTGTTTTTTTTTTCTTCTTATAAAGTTTTGTCTCTGTAAACATAAAGTTCCAAATGCAAACTGTATCAAGGTGTATATTTGTCTCTGTGCAATTTCTTTATCTAACATCTTTCCAGTATAGAATACAAAAATAATTTTATTTGTTTTGTTGTATTTATTTTTCGGTCTAGTACTGGGCAATCATAATGAATTGCAGTCCGGAAACAACCAAGAGACCTCAGTTGTACTGTTCTTGTTTATACAGTAAATTAAAATAATTTATTACATTTTATGGTATTATCTCATACCGGCTATTATTGTACAATGTAATGGAATTCAATTATTAATTACATTTCAAGTTAGTGATATATTTTACATGGTATTATTTACCATATATTCAAGCAGAACAAATAGTAATTTTTCAATTTTACTAGTGGAATTGGGGGGAGGGAAAATTACCTATATTAATTAGCTGGCGAAAGAGGCAAAGTCAAGTAGGAAAGAGGTTAATGAAGAGGACTAATTAAAAAAGGCACAAAGAAGAGTAACGGCAAATCTCTGCATGTCTCTCTTTTTTGTGTTAGATTAATGCAAATTCCCTTGCAAATATCGGAACATGGATGGATCACACAGAGGTGAAAATCTGAGAGTGGGATTAGAAACTAGAAACAAAAAACATTTACATCCTCTCACTGTATATCCAGGTATGACTCTTGGAGTATGTTATTACTCATAAAGGGACATTTTACTACCCAAATACAAAGAAAATGAACATAACTGTTTGGTAAATATGCACCCCATGAAAAATTGCACACAAATTTATTATGCATTTTTTCACTGGCGTATCTCTTGTTTACAGCCTTTGCAAGCCCTCCCCTTCTAACCCCGCCCAGCCTTTCTGTGACTGTCCAATCATTGATTTCCCAGTTCAGCTCAATGAGAAGTCTTTGCAAGGCATGTGCTCTGGGCAATTGCTGCCTCTTGAGCTCCCCTGAGCTAAGCAACCAGGAAGTAACATGGCTGGTTGTTTGATTGACATTCAGGGTGTGTAACAAGGGGAATTTATACAAATGTAAATTTCTACTGAAATCTGTACTTTTTGAAAAATGAGGGAAAAAAAACACATGCTCTTCACACATGAAGCACTTTAGCAAGCTAAAGGAGGAGACTATATTTAAAAGAAGAAAAACTACCACAACAAGAGGACATAGTCTTAAATTAGAGGGACAAAGGTTTAAAAATAATATCAGGAAGTATTACTTTACTGAGAGGGTAGTGGATGCATGGAATAGCCTTCCAGCTGAAGTGGTACTCCATAATTGGAAAACAGTGAGCATATACATTTTTTTAGTTTTATTGTTTATTTATTGTTACTTGTTGAAATGCCAAAAAATGCAAGCTTTGTTGACTTGTAGAAATCCCAATTTCCAAAGGAACAGACCCAAAGCAAAACTGGATAAAATCTGGGGGGCGGGGCCTGACCGCCAACTGAATCAGTGGCATCCAGCTGCAGCTCCTCCGGGTAAATCACTAACCGCACATTACATGGGGTTTTAATGCTCCCTTTTCTGTCTGCAAACCTGTCCTCATACCCGGGGAGCACTCTGCTACACATCGATACCTCTCAAGCCTGAATCCTGCAGACACAGCCTGTGCGAGGCTCCACTGCGGCCTGCAGTTTGTCAAGGTCCGGGAGGCGGCCGATCCAAGGCCTCGACTTTGAGTCCGCTGATCCAGAGCCCTGCCCCCCCTTGGACCAGTGGGGGATATCCCGGTCCCCACTGGTGGACCGAGATCTGGCAGCCAAAATGGCCACCCTGCAGGGGCAAGCAGAAGCGGACATCGCACCATGCTCACTACCAGACATGAACACGTTCCTCCTAGCCTTCGATCACATCTGTGAGCTATTCTGGAAAAAGCTTCAGGCCGTGAGACTCACCTCCAACCCAGGCTGAGACCTCATGTCCAGTTACCCATCGACGCACGCTCACACGAACCTGGCATCTCTCCAAAGGGACATTGCAGAAACGACGGCATAAGCTGCCAGCACAGAGGGCACACTTCCCTCGCCACTCTGACCCTTCTGCTCACTGCAACTCATCTCCTCCAACGCGAACCAAGCTTCATTGCCCACGACAACACCAGCCTGCACCAAGCATCGACTTACCCACTCATAGGGCACGCAACACGGAGGAACCACAACACCGAACCTCAGCTCCCAACTTGGACACAATCCTTCCGGGAATATATGGTGACCTGGCTCAGTCAGAGGACCACACCCAGAGGGGCAGAGGGAAAGGACAGTTGGGACTTACCAGCACTTGGCGTTGGCTGAGAGCACGGTGTGCCTTACCGGTAGCCCTGGGGTTTACAATAGTCTCGTCCCCTCCCAATCACAGCCCTAGCTCAGCTACTAGACCCTATTTTTGCCATATTTACTTCATGGCTACCCGAGGCTACTTACCTTATCCAGTGGTATTTTTATTTTTATTCACATTGTGTTCCCTATCATAGCCCTGGTCTATAACCCTGCTCCTTCTCTTCTTGTTTACCCACATAGCATAGGGCTTTTGAAGTCTCCCGTATTTTCATATAGAAATAGTGCAAGCTCTCCTGGACATTTCAAACATAACCTATGTCTCTGTGTGTGGATTTACTTGTGATATCTATAACCTGTCTTACTTTTGTTCCTATCTTGTTATAACAAAAAAAAAAGTGCAGTACCTCTTGACTACCTGTGCCAAATGTATCATGTGATATATAACACTGAACAAGTCACTGTACTTAACTCTGCACTCAAAAATAAAGAATAAAAAAAAATTGGATAAAATCTAAAGTAAAGGGCTACAAATTCAAGCAAGCTATACGTTGGAATGCTGCATTGCTCCTCTTTTAGAAAACTGCTCTAGTCTGAACCCCTTAAGGACACATGACATGTGTGACATGTCACGATTCCCTTTTATTGCAGAAGTTTGGTCCTTAAGGGGTTAAAGAAGAATATTTAACTTGAGAATGTGATATTATTAAAGGAACACTCCTAGCACCATAACCAATATAGCTTGCTGAAGTGTTCCTTTTAAAGCATTTATACAATAAATGCCTATTAATGTCTGTAATGAGTGCTTTTTCTTCTAACAAAAATAACATTAGATTAGGTCAAAACTTAATCATACATGAATTGTTTCCCTGCCGGAGGGCCCTTTTTCCTATTCATTATATACACAGGATGTGCACGATATCAAGAGAACATGCATATATCATTTCGACCAAGCTCTTCTTAGAAACATAAAAAATATCCATTTTATGTGTAGGTCTGGACAAAAAAAAAAAATATTTATGGAAAGAAATGTAAAAGATATACTGTGCTTTCAATTAAATTATAGACAAAAAATTGTAAATCTGATCCACTTCGTCCAAATTTTTCGAGCAATTCTTCATTGATTTGTGGATTTGTTTAATCTGGAATGCATTAGAAAGATAACTTTTTGTTAAAACAATTTAGACAAATTGAATTCTAAACTGAATGCTTTGAAAGCACGTAGCATTAGCAAACGCTATTCAAGGAAAAACCATAAGCAAATAACTGCCAGTGCTAACATGCATGAAATCAAATCCCCAATTCTAAGCAAAATGCACAAACAATGAGTGCCTGGTTTGAAGTCTAAAATGCTAAATAATATTGTGCATTTTTTACTTCAACACTTTCACCCCACAACTGCAGTTTTTATTTAGAAAATAAAATCCCTGCCCAAACGTCTTGCATGCTTCCTTACAAATGCATTTGATCTGATTCACAAGTCATTGATGTTTAATGTAGTGGTTATGCATGTGTCTACATATTGTATAAATAACTTATACCTACCTATGCCCACCTATTGTATCTAGTGTTCTGATAGCAAATATATATTTGTGAAACTCGATGATAAAATTCTATATTTTTGTAAAATTGAAACGTATCTCTATTTTTAATCTTAAATATGGTCATATAGTACTTCCAACAGACTGAGAGTGAGTGTTACATTAGTGTTAGATCTTTGGCAAATAGCCTATATGCATACAGTGGCCTCTAACTAAAAGCTAGCAAACCTTAATAGCCAGTGCCATTAGCCAGACAGTCACTTGATACATTGGGATAGGAAAACAGCTCTTTGAGTTAGCCACTTTGCCACTTCATATGAGTGGTGGGCTATTGCACTCACTATTAAAGTTAGAATAGCTTGTTGTAGGTCAGTGTCAGCATTTAGGTGCCAGGGGCATATTATTTGCCACAGACTAACATTATATAGCAAGTGCATTCCACTCTCAGTCTTCTGCTAGTAAAGTTAAATTGGAAATATAAAAATAAATAATAAAAAAATAATGAAATAAAATGCAAAAATCCACTGCAAGATATATACATTTTATTGTACAGCAGCAAGATCAGCATATGTAAGGGTGAGTCAGTCCTGATCAGGTCCTATTCCTACTTTTGTTGTATTCTGCTCATCTATCTTCAATTGTCTTCTTCTTCCTGTGATTCCGATAGGTGGGGAGACTGTCTTCCAGTGGAATAATGTGGGTTGTCAAGTCATATCTAATAAGATTTTCTGAAAATGTTGGTTGTGTGTAAGTATGAGTAAATGAGTGTACTGAATATCGCTGTCTCTGTAATGTAGTTTGAAACTTCAGTTGTTCTTCTGTGGATGGTCTCTTTTCCTTCTTCAACAAAACTGTCTTGTAGCGTGTGCTGAAATGTTGTTATCACGGAGCTTTTAAGATGATACAAAACTCATTCCTAACTTCTTTTCCACACAATGTGCACTTAGCTAACTGCCCATTAATGCTGTCAAAGTGATCTCGATGTGACACCGTAGCCACCTCTGCCTCCCATTCTGCTACTATGTAAGTTTTGTAGGTGGTTTACCTGTGGAACTACTCGTAGCCTTCTCTGCCTTAAGAGGAACACTTCTACTAGGCTGGTGCTAGGCTTCCAACAGGTAGTAATAGTAGCACTACTACCACTGATTGTTCTAGCAGAGGATGTGGCAAGATGGATAATATGCGATACTGTTCTACTAGCATCTACAGGCTGCTTTGACACAATTGGAAATGCTGGTGGCACTGTCAATGCTATAAGAAGACAAAAGACTAAAGTCTATAGCAGATGTGCTAGCAGATGTGCGATGAAATCAGAGATTTGAGACATTTGCTTACCTGAATCCTTTGCACAATGGAAATATCTACTACTCCTTCAGAGTCTGTCCTTATA